GAGGGGGACTCTTTTCCCTGGAACCCCGTCATCCATCTACTCTCATCAATCTGTTTGAAGTTCCCTACTAGGAGTTAAATGACCACTTTCAACTTGAGATATCTAACTTTTAAGTCACGTTATCAACATGCATTTTTAAATGACTAAGAACTTTATTTTATTATCCTGGATAATAACACTAGTTTAAGGAAATATATCCAATTAAAGGTGAGTGGTTATGATGGTTGGATTTAGTAAAATTATAAGACTACTACTGAAACCTAAACAGCAAAAGATAGAAAACTTATATGAAGGATTAAGTGCTAATAATTCAAAGATTTAGAATTTTTTCCACCTTCCAAATACTAGGCTGCTATTATAGATTCACCACTGTTATTATCCAGATTATCTACTCTTATTGGAAAAGAATAGCACAAACGATAAATGAAAGTTCTTTAGGTTTTAACACAATCCTGCTACCTCTACAGTTGTCCCTTTTTATTTTATTTTTTATTATACAACTAACACATGTTCAGTATAGAAAAAAACAGATGAGTTAAGCAAAACACACACACACACACACACACACACACGCACGCACACACGCACGCACGCACACATGCACACAATCACAACAACTCACTCATAGTCTTGGCAACTAGAAATAAGCACTCAACATTTTGTAGTGTTAAAATAATTTTCTGCCAAAACCTGTTTGGCTCAGTGGATAGAGTGTCAGCCTGCGAGCTGAAGAGTCCAGGGTTCGATTCCAGTCAAGGGCACATCCCCAGGTCGGGGTGTGCAGGAGCAGCTGGTCGATGTGTCTCTCTCATCAATGTTTCTAACTCTCTATCCCTCTCCCTTCCTCTCTGTAAAAAATAAATAAAATACATTTTAAAAAAAGAATAATTTTCTGCTGAAATATTTCTTTATTCTTGAAATGTTTCCTACGTTCTCTCTTCTTTCTGTTGTCTTAATCCCTTACCTTTCAGCACTGAACCCTCTGGATGACCACTATATTCTCTAGTGAACACAGCATCTTCCTGCAGGATCTGAGCACAGTGATTATCTGGAATAAACTCCCTTCTGTGCTTTGGTTAGAAGTAGACCATTTACATATAAACTCTTGGAGTGTAGAATCCTTATCTGTTTACTGCTGTGTTCCAAGGTAATCTGTCTGGCACATAGTAGGCACTCAACAAAGTATTTGCTTAATTATTAATGGAGTAGCTAATATTATTATTCCTAGCAGAATATACAATTAAGTTTTCTCTGGTTTTCAATCTTTGTTATGGCAGAGATTTAAAATTATTTCAATTCCTCCATTTCCTCTCACTTGTTCAATACTTGCTCTAGTTTATTCACTTTTCAGGGATTGATTTAACCTATTTTCTCACCTTTTCAAAAGATTTTCTGATTAAAACAATTTTTGAGCACTCAGCTTATTTAGTTCTTTGTGGGTTTCCTGCCTTGTCACAGTCAAAACGCCTCAGCTTCTGCCTGGAAAGTGTGGGTTACATCTTTGCATACTGCAAACTTGAGTTGATGAAAAACTTTTTAAAAATACAAGCTGTATGGAGCACTGCTTATATCTCATCATGCAGCAGTCACAACATACTCTTCAGACCCAGCTTTCTTTTTCATTCTTGACATAATTTTTTGATGCTGAACTAAATAAGAAATGTTTCCAGAAATTCAACTGTGCGAAGCAGGTGTGAGCAAATATGAGGTGAGGTTGGTGTCTGTTTCACAGCCAGGGTATTTTGTCTCTTCAGTGCTCCGCTTCAGGCTGCACATCGCTCCAGGTCTGAATGTACTTTGCACAGTAGATTTTGATTTCCAATCAAGAACGTCAAAGCTAAAGCAAAATGAACTAGAAAGTTTATTTTACACAGTTCCAAAAAGCTGAGTATATGCAGTTTTCCAGAAATTGCACTAATGCAACACTCCAAAAATATAAAATGTGCTGTGTCCTTGAGCATTTGATCATTTAAACCAAGGATTGTGGGCCTGGTCATAAGATAATCTCATGAATATTAGATAAAATTAGCATACCAGGAAAGATAGGGTCTCTCTCTCTCTCTTTCTCTCTCTCTCTCTCTCACACACACACACACACACACACACACACACACACACACAATTGGGTATCAACTCTGGATGCTTTCATGTGCTGGCAATATCTGGAATGTTAAATGGTTAGTATGTTTAATTCCAGTCTATCACATAGAACAGTGAGGTATTAATAGAATAAGGATCTTGAAAATTTGAATGATTTTATGTGAAAGCCTTTCCATTAAACATTTGGTATGCTTTCAATCGCATTATTATTACTTTCTAGAGTGCCCAATTCAATTGCTATTTATTAGCTTTAAAGTCTTTGACCTAGAAGAAAGACTGATATTGACAGGATGGCAGGATGACCTGTAGAGAAAGTAAGAAGCAGGGAACTGTCCTCCTGAAGAGATAAATTGATGCTAATAAATTGTTTTACTCAAAGCTGTATGGAGAGATCATAGATTCAAAAGTGTTCTAAAAAGTAAGTCATGCCAATATTAAGGATAAAACATCCCCAAATTATTAATCTATTATATATCACATGCTCATGTGCAAATCTGCTTCTGGAAACTAAACATTCACTTTTTATTACAATCAATGTTTTTAGTCCTAGAACCTGGCTCAAGAAATGTCTGTTGGATTGAAGACTCAGTAGCTTGATAGTAAAGACAGCATATTCAGGCATAATTCCTCTGATCTGTGTCTTAGTTGTTCCCTACATAGAGTTGTTTTTACATGGAAAATAAGCTGCATCCTGTGGTAATTTCACCTCCTTGTGAATGGAAGGGAAACAACACTGAAATGGGTGTTAGGAGACTTAGACTAGTCCTAGCTCTTTATCTTGTGCTAATGAGTGACCTTGAACAAGTCAGATATTTTCTTGCTATTTTGGTGTTCTTTTCCCTCTTGGAAGACAATATATTAGTGATCCATTTTAAAATACATTTATCTCAGGAGGAGAAGTGGACAGCCACATCTTTATTCTTCCTTCTTTGGAGGTCTCATAGTATCCTGTGACCTGAAGGGGATACAGGCTTTGGTGACCACATGGGGAAGGGCTGAAATGAAAGAGGTAGGGATTCCTGTGGCAGTGATTTATCTGTGTAGAACATTTAGTTCTCATGACTCAGAAGATATCAATATTATTGCTATATCATAAAATATAAAAAATATATATGCCACGAAAAATGACCGTGGAAAAAAAATCCACAGAACTAATAGTTTAAATTTTTTGATGCCTGGCAAAATAGAATGTACATTTTCCACATAAGATGAGAGATTATTTGAATTCATGTTTAGAGAAACAAAAATAAATAAATACTAGGAAACTCGGGGGGGGGGGGGGGGAACAGCTGGACATTACCTCTAAGTGTTTCCAAACATTTTTTAAATCCTCACCTGAAAATATATTTCTTGATTTTAGAGAGAGTGAGGAAGTGGGGGAGGAGAAGTGGGAGAAACATCAATGTGAGAAACATTGATTAGTTTGTCTCGCACAGGCACCCTGGCTGGGGATCGAAACCTCAACCTTTTTGGTGTAAAGGATGATGCTCCAGCCAGCTGAGCCACCTGGCCAGGGTCTAAATGTTTTTCTAGGAACTCTAATCTATAATAGATAAATTTAACACAATATCACTTAGATGGATGGACTTTTATCTCCAGAAGACAGGAACCAAAAATAGATTAAAAATTGGTTCTCTATTAAGTGAAGTTTCTTTTTTTCTGAACAAAGGTGAAGAAAATTCTGTTAGATTTATTGTATGATTTGATAACCAGAAGGATTCATCGAAACTGTTGATTCTATGACTATGTATAAAAAGGGAAGAAATAGCCCTAACCACTGTTGCTCAGTGGATAGAGCATCAGTCTGTGGACTGAAGGACCTTAGGTTTGATTCTGGTCAAGGGCACATGCCTGGGTTGCAAGCTTGATTTCCACTAGGGGGCGTGCAGGAGGCGACTGATCAATGATTCTCATCATTGATCTTTCCTTTTTTTTATTTTAATATATTTTTTATTGATTTTTTACAGAGAGGAAGGGAGGGAGATAGAGAGCCAGAAACGTCGATGAGAGAGAAACATTGACCAGCTGCCTCCTGCAGCCAACGTACATGCCCTTGACCGGAATCGAACCCGGGACCTTTCAGTCCGCAGACTGACCACTGAGCTAAACTGGCTTCGGCTCATCATTGATCTTTCTATCTCTCTATCTCTCTGCCTTCCTCTCTGAAATCAATAAAAATACATTTTTTAAAAAGGGGAAACACTAGAACATGCTATATGAGCTAAGTGCAAGGCTTGGGAGAAAGTATCACTTTTTACTTTCACAATAACCCTTTAGCCTTCAAGACAGGAAGTACAGATCGGGAAATTGAGGAGCAGTGAGATTATAAAACTTGCCTAACGTCACTCACATGTTGGTGGCAGAGCTGGGATTCAAACAGGAGACATTTTGAAATCTCATGGTTTTTCCACTATGCTGCCCCTCAGTGGATCTTTATAATAATAGTAGCAATAATAATTAACAATAATACTGCTTATTGACCACTTATTTATTATGAGCCAAGAATTGTGCAAAGACCTTTAAGTGCTTATTTTATTCAATTAACAAACCCATGAAGAAGAGATTGTTTGCAAATAAAAAACACAGAGACTCAGAGAACTTAAGTGACTTTACTTACAGTCACCAGACAGGTACGTGGGAGCCAGTGTTTGCTTTTGAGCCCAGAGCCCATTCAGATACTGTTTCGGGGGCAGATTGGAGAACCTGATATCTGAACCATCCATCCTTCAGGGGACCTGCTCCTTTTTTGGAGATGGGTCAACACAACGGGAGGAGGGAGCTCCACACTGAATTTGCCTGTGTGCTGTGGCAAATACAGTCATTGGGGGCAGTTTATCCTTGCTTACCAAGTTCTTTGGATCAGAAGTCAGTAAAATTCTCTTCATGCTTTTCTTTTGCAGATACTTGCCATTCGCGCTGAATCGACTAAAGATAATTCCCCAGTGACTAATACCTACTCTGAGCCGTTGAAACAGAGTAAGAACATTACCAAAAGGGAGTCCGGGTGTCCGGAAGGCCAACAGCGTCAGGGCAGTTTCTGCTGCCTGCCATGTCTTCCTGGTATGTCACACATACATGCAGCAATTAAAATGAGAATCAGGGTGAGGAATAGCATCGTGATGATAAAGAAAAGGTTTTTTACAGCATTTGGTTCTCCTGTATAACTACATTACTAAGAACAAAAAACCAGCTTGGAGATTATTTTCCCAAGATACATTTAGCCCTAGCCGGTTAGGCTCAGTGGATAGTGTGTCAGCCTGTGGACCAAAGGATCCCGGGTTTGATTCCCATCAAGGGCATATAACTTGAATGCAGGCTCCTCCCTAGCCCAGGCCCAGGCTCTCATATTGGAGGCAACCAATTGATGTGTTTCTCTCACATCGATACTTCTCTCTGTCTTTCCCTCTCTCCTCCATTCTCTAAAAATCAATGGAAAAATATCCTTGGGTTATGATCAAAAGAAAAAAAAAACACATTTAATTCATCTTTATAACACTTGTTGGATGTAGGTATAAATAAGTATAGTTTACAAATGCTATGTACCTCTGAAATGAGAGGATTTATCTAGTTAGCTGCATTTTTCATTAGCAAAAGAAGACTCATTTGTGGGTATTAAAGCTCATCACTTCAGAACGGATTCGAATATTTCATAATAATTGTGGCACTCTGAAAGCAAGTATTTCAGTACTCCTGCTCAGCTAGAGACACTGAAGCCTGCAAACAGCATTTGCATTTCGCAGCTATATAACTAGCCAAGCTAGAAAAGCAACAGACAAAAACCAACGGTCTTTAAACATCAGTATTTTGAAATACAAACCAGTTTCAGATTGGAAATCCTTCTAACACCAGCAAATTGGAAGCTAAGCAAATAATAATTGTACTTTGGCTTGGTTTTCTTTTAAGTATTGCTACAGCATTATAAGGCCCCAGTGCACTGTTATTTGAATTCAATTCCAGGTTTCTAGTGTTTTTTTTTCTATTGACGGAATAGTGTCCTTGTTTACTAAAATGTCATATGTTTAAATTAATTTATTTATGTAGTAAATACTTTGCTTTGTCAAAAAGAATGCCAACCAGAATTATATGAATTGCTGAAGGGGGTTATTTAGGAAGAGGAAGAAGATAAAAATAAAAATTATGAACAATAGCCAAAACGGGTTTTGGCTCAATGGATAGAGTGTTGGCCTGCGGACTGAAAGGTCCCAGGTTCGATTCCGGTCAAGGGCATGTACCTTGGTTGTGGGCACATCTCCAGTAGGGGGTGTGCAAGAGGCAACTAACTGATCTATGAACAACAAATACATAACTATCAACAAGTGAATCTAAAAACCAAGGGAATTAAAAAATCTGATGAACAATATTAACTGGTGAGTATAATAGAATCAGAGTTATGGAAGGGGAGTGGACTGATGATTCTCGGGGAAAAGGGGAGAGGGGGATGGGGGAAGAGACTGAACATAAACTGTGCACCTATGGATGAGGACAATGGGGAGTGGGGAAAGGGCAGAGGGTGGAATGGGAGAAATGGAGGGAGAAAAAAAGAGGAACATTGTAATAATCTGAACAATAAAGATTTATTAAAAAAAAAAAAAAAAGAATGCTACGAGGTTGTTGAGAAAGTCATATGCTTAGGAAAGACAGCATCAATTATGTTTGCTATACATGTGCCCATCATTTTCATAGCCAGCTTTAGATTAGACTTTTCTTATTCTTCGTACTTATACCATTAATAATTGAAGTCACTAGGCATGCTTTCTCTTACATTCCCCTTTATATTTTCTGACACTTCCTTTTTCATTCTCTCTCTCTCTCTCTCTCTCTCTCTTTTTTTTCTCCCTCATCTAGTTTCCCAGTAGCACTTATCATCACTTGATGCCCCAGATTTATAGGTGTGTTGCCTGTCTTACCCCGAGAACGTGAAGTCTTAGAGTCCGAGGCTTTACTTATTTCCTTTGCTTATTTCCAGCTCCTAGGTAGTGCCTGGAATACAATAGCCTTTAATAAGCACTTGCTAAATAAATGTATTTTCTAGGAAAAGGCATTGTTGTGTAATACTTACTAATAGCAATATGATGACTTGTTTTATTTTTAAAGTCGATGAAAGCGAATGGGAATATCATTTGAAATTGTGTGCATTAAGATAACAAATCTGATAATAAATTTTATTCTAAATATGCTCCTACCTGCCCACCATAACATACTCTGACCCTTAATGACAAAGGAGTAGAAAGAAAAGGGAGAAAAGAGGGACTGTAAGCATTTACTAGGCATGCCCTGTGCACTTCTGGTAGCAAGATTATTATCTCCATCGTATGCATAAAGAAATGTAGGCTCAGAGAGATGAAGCATCTTGTTAAAGCTCATGGGGCTACAAAAGATTTCATCAAAGTCTTTAGAAACTTCAAATGTGCTTTTCCTTACATGTACTTGTATCAGCATCTGTGGACTTTGGAACATGAAATGGGAAACCAGAAAAAAGTGAATGCTTTAGCACCTAAAGTTTAGGTCATCTCAGAGGCCAGCAACAGCCATCTCAAGGCAACCTCTCCCTTCCCCAACCAAAAAGTTAATAAGGCTTTTTTCCCCCTGGTGCATTTGGTCATTCCAGCTTTTACCCTGCCCCTCTGTTTCCTGTCACATGTTACTATTGTTAATCATCTTTCATCACTCTTTCAGCTTTTGTCTTGGGAGACTTTCTGTCTCTTGACGTGATTTTAACAATAAGCATCTCCTCTATTGTCTTTATAGATCATTAGCCAAAGTTCCCTGTTTTAGCAGTCCTTTGCTGTAATACCTGCACACTCCCCGTGCTGTTGCATTCAAATACTTGCTCCATTTTTCTTCCTCTTGTTTTGGCAGGTGAACGGAAAAAGGAAGACTGCAAAGCTCATGGGGACAAACTAGTCTGTGAGCCCTGCCAGGAAGGGAAGGAATACACAGACAAGGAACATTTTTCTTCTACATGCAGAAGATGCGGGATTTGTGATGGAGAACATGGTATGAGTCTTAAAAAGCCATTGAAAGTGACTAATTGTAGAATGCTCCATGTAAAATCATTCATAATAGATCTGTAATTCGGATTTGGGAGCCACTCTTGGTTGCTGGGTGCTATGTTGGTATACAGGAAGAGGTAGGATGGAGCTGACTGGCGTAAAGCAGGACCAGGGACTGAACTGGGCTAGCCTCTTCTGAGCCAAGTCTGGGCAATCTCCCAGATGAGGGAACAGACTAAATATGAACCCTACAAACAGGATTCATTAGCTCCAGGTAAAAGTGCAGAAACTTTTCTTCCTGTCTTGATTTATGCGTATGCAATGGCTCTTGTTCATGGCCAGAGAGCGCTCAGAACCCTTCAAATCCAAGGACAAAAGATCCTGAGAGGTGAGTGGAATGCTTCACTTCCTTTCAAGATATAGTTTGTTCTGATAATTCCAATTGGACCCCCGGATTTTCATGACTCTCCCAATCTATTTTGAGGGCCCAGGTTAAAATATAACATATATACTCCCAGTTTTGCTTGACATTAAGAAATCTCTGGACATACGTTTTTCTTGTCTCCATTAAAGCTCTAAAGCAATGTTTCTTAACCCTGGCTGTACATTAGAATCACACAGGGAGCTATGAGAAATGCCCATGTGTAGGTCCACCTTAGACCAACTAAATCAGAATCTCTGAAAAGATTTGAGATTGGTCTGCTTGCCCAGATGGGGTGAGGCTTAACAATTTGCATTTCTAACAAGCTACCAGGTGATCCTAATGCTGTTGGTCCACAAGCCACACTTTGCATAGCCAGGCTTTAGACTAGAACAGTGTTTCCCAAAGTGTGGTACACGTACCCCCAGGGGTACGCGTTGCACCAGAGTTTGGTGGGGATATGCACTGCACTGTGCTTAGCTGCGCCTAATTCTACATTCTCATGAGTACGAGGGGTACTCAGCGTTACAAAAATTATAGGAGTACACATATATCAAAAGTTTGAGAAACACTGGCCTATTTAAGCAAAGGTAGGGTTTTCTTGGTTGCTGGGTTGTCTACCCATTTAAAACTCTGCTAAATGATTTCAACCATTTCAACCTGGGGTTGCCTATTTTGTATGTAAACACTAGTTGTATTTCTAAAGTCATGATGCTGTGAGTGCTCATATAAGCAGCGGATCTCAAAAATCCATGCCGCTCTTGCCCATCATTTCCATAGCCAGCATATAACTAGCTGCTATAACTAGTTGTCTGAAAATTGGATTTCTAGGCTTCGAAGTGGAAAAAAACTGTACCAAGACCCAGAATGCCAAGTGCAGATGTAAACCAAACTATTTTTGTAAGACTCCACCATGTGAACACTGTGACCCTTGCCGCACGTAAGTTTTGGCCTTTTTTGATTAATACATTATATCTACCTTGAGAGACAATGTCTTCCTAGGGGGAAGCAACACTGGGTTCTAGTCTTGCTTTGCCTCTGAACAACTGGATAACCATTTGTTCATTCAGACACCCAGGCTCCAAACTTGTATTGAACCTCCTGAGGGCTGGCCACTTCTGGCCACTTAAGCTAACAAGATGAGCAAGAAGCATTTCTGACATCGAAGCTTTCCAGACTAGAGGCAAGGACATTATAAAAAAAATAAAAATAAAAAAAAGGCGTGGTTATTGAATCAACACCATGTGGCAAGCATCAGACACGTGACAGTGTATTATGAGTTATTTAGAACTTTTCAACTTTGCTGGAGGAGATGCAGTGAAGATATGACACATGGCTTGAGTCTTGAAGGAAGGTGAGCATGGATCAAGCAGGGAACCAGCAAGAGCAAAGAGACAGGGGAAGCTCCAGAGAACAGGGTACCTGGCTAGAGTGTAGGAAAGACTGAAAAGGAGCCAGGGCCAGATCATGAAGGGTCTTGTCTTTCATGCTAAAGAGCTTGGTTTTGACCCACAGTTAGAAAAACTAACTGTGCATGTCACTTTCCTCCTCCTCCTCCTCCTCCTCCTCCTCCTCCTCCTCCTCCTCCTCCTCCTCCTCCTCCTCTTCCTCCTCTTCCTCCTCCTCCTCCTCCTCCTCCTCCTCCTCCTCCTCCTCCTCCTCCTCCTCCTCCTCCTCCTCCTCCTCCTCCTCCTCCTCCTCCTCTTCTTCTTCTTCTTCTTCTTCTTCTTCTTCTTCTTCTTCTTCTTCTTCTTCTGTTTCTTCTTTTAAAAAATTTTTAAAATATATTTTATTGACTTTTTACAGAGAGGAAGAGAGAGGGATAGAGAGTTAGAAACATCAATGAGAGAGAAACATCGACCAGCTGCCTCCTGCACACACTCTATTGGGGATGTGCCCACAACCAAGGTACATGCCCTTGACTGGAATCGAACCCGGGACCTTTGAGTCCGCAGGCCGATGCTCTATCCACTGAGCCAAACCGGTGTCAGCTCTTCTTCTTCTTCTTCTTCTTCTTCTTCTTCTTCTTCTTCTTCTTCTTCTTCTTCTTCTTCTTCTTCTTCTTCTTCTTCGATTTATTATTATTATTATTATTATTAATCCTTACCAGAGGATATTTTTCCATTGATTTTTAAGGAGAGTGGAAAAGGGAAGAACAGAGAGAAATATCGATGTGAGAGAAACACGTTGATTGGTTGCCTCCTGCAGGTACCCCAACCAAGGCCTGGCCAGGGAGGAGCCTGCAAACAAGGTATGTGCTCTTGACTAGAATGGAACCGGGGACCTTTTGGTCCACAGACTGATGCTCCACTGAGCTAAGCTGGCTAGGGCCATGCCACTTTTCTTCTGATTAACAGAGTGAGTGTAAGTGGACCACTTACCCTCTCAGAGCTTCGGTTCCCTCGCATATTAAGATGCATACAGTCATCAATTGTCTTATGGGTCTCATATTTGTGAAGATCAGATTGGGTAACATGTATTATAAAAATAGCTTGTACTTTGTAAGACACTGTTGTGCATACATATAAATATAATTAATATTATATCAATGTACCTCTCCTTAAACATGTAATCATCTTAGGAGTCACTTAGGAGTTCACCTAGTAGGCTTGAAAAGTAGGAACATTATGCTTGATGTCTCTTATTTACTAGAAGAAAAAAAAGTAAGGTTCGTGCACTTAACCTAGCCTCTTCTTTTTAACCCAAGTATCTGAGATAGCCCTCATGATGACAGAAGTAGGGATTGGGGTTGGGAGGCGGGACTAATACAAGTCAAATAATAACAACAATAACAGTTCTCAATACTTCATAATCTTTTTTTTAACACATTTTATTGATTTTTTTACAGAGAGGAAAGTAGAGGGATAGAGAGCTAGAAACATCTATGAGAGAGAAACATCGATCAGCTTCCTCCTGAACACCTCCCAGTGGGGATATGCCTGCAACCAGGGCACATGCCCTTGACTGGAATTAAACCTGGGACCCTTCAGTCCACAGGCCAACGCTCTGTCCACTGAGCCAAACCAGTTAGGGCAATACTTCATAATCTTGATTTAATTTTCCTCTCACCATACCCTCTCAAGCAGGTAATACTGTCTCCTTGTTTTTGGTGAGAAAACGGGATTGTGGTGGTTAAGTAACTTGCTCAAACTCACCGAGTTAGGTAATGGGTAGAGCCAAGCTTTAATTCAGACTGGGTCAGTGTTTGACTGTCGGGGGGAAAAAAATACAGAAACCTCTTAAGTATCCTAATGGCCCCTTGATGTTAAAGAGAGAAACCTCTAAGGCCTAGTGGAGTAAGTTTCCTCGGGAGCATCATGAGCAGTGGCTATTATCTGGCCATTTTTATTGTTCTATGGGACTGCTTTGAAATTGCTTTTGGTAGTTTATCATTGTCTCCTAATATTTTAAGAGCACAGTTTATGACCAGTTTTAAGTTTAAGTTTTAAGGCTCTATTTCATTCTTCTTCTTTTCTGCCAATACTTGACTACCTTCTTTTAACTCTTGGTATTTTAAAACATAGTCATTCTTTGTTCACCCAAACATCCAAATTATGCTACAGATTTTTACCAGCTCTACCGTGCTAATCTAGAAATAGTTGAGGGACTATGATTGCCAGAGATGCAAAAAGGACTACAATGACCCGGGATGTATAGTGAGTGTGTCACTGAGAATGATCAAGGAATTAGCCCACCAGGCTTTTTACATTTTCTCTGTATTTTTTTTTTTAGGTGTAAACATGGAATCATTGAGGATTGCACAGCAACCAGTGACACCAGATGTAAAGAAGGTTATTACTTTTTTTAATGAGTAGACTCTCCTTCTATTCCCACAGTAAAATATGAAGAAAAGCCAATCCCTTCTGATTCTTTGAGAGTACTTGTTTAATCTTAAAGACTGTTCATTTTCATATAAAATGTCCAATGTTCCACTCTACAGGATCCACATCTCACTTACACTGGGCGTGGCTCCTGCTCCTGGTTCCAATAGCTGCACTATTTTGGGGTAAGTTCTTACTTTGTTCAAGTTGCACATTGAAATAACTTGGAAAGGGCTTTTTCAAAGAACTTCCCTCTGTCTCCAACCTATAAGAAAGCTTGCCACCAGGTAGGTAGTTAGCCCTGGTATATTTTTAATTCCTGCCACCAAATGCAAATGCACTCGTGAATGCTGAAAGAATAGATTATATTTATCTCTCAGCTACAGTTTTTGAGCAACCATTTTGGAGCACTGAGTGGCTATTCCCATCCTCACAGTGTTTTCATCCTGGCAGCAGCCAAGTTTGCCAAGAATCAGAAGTAATCTTTCATCATCCATCGAGATTGTCCCGCATTAAAATAACACCAGAAACAAGGGCCTTGCTGGGAAAGGCATTCAGGGGACACTTGCTAAATTCATCCTTCTCTGTGCCTCCTCACCTTTGCTCAAACTCCATGATTTTATTATTTAACCACCATAATTTAAAATATTGTGCTATACGTTTTATGCAAGGGTTACCTAGTAAATCAGCAGATAAGCCAAATAAGCCCAAATCGAGAGTAATCTTAATTACACCAGAAAAATCCCTTTTAATCATTCCGAAAACACAGGGCGATGCATCTTTCAATCACCTTGAATCGTGCAATTGGAATAGGCTCTGTTTCTTCAGTTTAGCTTAAGATAGAGGTTGCTCAGCTAAAAATACATGCAGTGTTCTATGTTTAAATGCCATAACCATACTTGCAGACTTGCACATTCCTTTCTCCCATCCCATACTGACTTCAAGGCATATATTCATTGAGTGTGTATGCTTGAGTTACTTGTGAGTGCATGTACTTGAATTTCTGGGCATTAAATGTCACTCCATGGCAAGCAAATGTCAGCTTTCCATATCCTGCGCTTCTATGCCCTGCTGTAGCCATGACATGTAGCTCCAGGTTGATGAGAGGAAATTTTGATGTCATTCAGTAAGCAAAAGCCAGCTTTAGGCTAGGCCAGTGGTCGGCAAACTGTGGTTCGAAAGCCACATGCGGGTCTTTGGTCCCTTGAATGTGGCTCTTCCACAAAATACCACGGCCTGGGCGAGTCTATTTTGAAGACGTGGCATTAGAAGAAGTTTAATTTTTAAAAATGTGGCTCTCAAAAGAAATTTCAATCGTTGTACTGTTGATATTTGCCCTGTTGACTAATGAGTTTGCCGACCACTGGGCTAGGCTACTGTGAGGTAGTTGGACGTTTCAATTAAGGTGTAGCATATTGCCCACAGGTGTGGCTCAGTGGTTGAGCCTCAACCTATAAACCAGGAGGTTATGTTTCGATTCCTGGTCAGGGCACATGCCTGAGTTGTGGACTCAATCTGCAATGAGGGGATGCAGGAGGCAGCTGATCAATGATTCTCTCTCATCACTGATGTCTCTCTCTCTCTCTCTCTCTCTCTCTCTCTCTCTCTCTCTCTCTCTCTCTCTCTCTCTCTTTCTCTCTGTCTCTTCCCCATTCTCTTCCTCCCCTGTTCCTCTCTGAAATTAATTTTAAAAGATGTGGCATATCTCTGGTGGGGTGAGGTTGTCCAAAATCAGGTCAGTACTGTCTTTTAGGGTCACTTTACGTTTCAATGAATTTCTGCTTCTTTCTCACACTCCTCTACTGTGACAGTAGTGTTTTTGCCAAGGCTGAGACCTGAGTCTGATAGAAATTTCTTTCATCTTTTAGGGGTGAAAAAATGGCGTCGGAATCATAATCATCCTGAACCTACACCTCCAGATACTGTAAGTGTTGAAACATGCATCAGCTTTCTTAAAATCATAGAGAAAGTAGTAACTCAACTTTTTATTCGCTACTTCTTTAAAACAAGCATTTATTGTGTCTGTGTGTGCATGGGTTAGAAGGCATCAAACAGTAATTAAGATCTGAGGCCCAGTTTATAAGTAAGCTCCATACAACATAAGCGTTAACACAGGACTTAAGAGGTGGGCTGCTCAAGGTGAGTTGGAAAAAGGCTGTGGCCAAGCAGTATGTCCCACGTTGGCATTATTCTTGCAGAGAAACTACAGAAATGCCGAAACCGGTTTAGCTCAGTGGATAGAGCCTCAGCCTGCAGACTCAAGGGTCCCAGGTTCGATTCTGGTCAAGGGCATGTACCTTGGTTGCGGGCACATTCCCAGTATGAGGTGTACAGGAAGCAGCTGATTGATGTTTCTAACTCTCTATCTCTCTCCCTTCCTCTCTGTAAAAAAAAAAAAAAAAAAATCAATGAAATATATATTAAAAAAGAAAGAAAGAAAGAAACTACAGAGCCATCCTTTACCAGAGCATGGATTCGGTATCCGAGCCTGAACAGACATAGCTCTTACAGCCCCTATAAGGGCACAGCTCAACTTTTCCCAGCCACTTGTTACCATAGCTCTCACCATATTTCTTTTCCAACATGGAATCAAAGCATTTCAAATAGCAAAAGTTACACAGGGAAGATAAGCCAGTTCACTTCGTGAATAATGCTTTTTCTCATGTGGGGCTGGGGCTCAGTGGGATTTGGGGTTTTTTACATCAATATAGCACAACATAATTTCAAGTTAAATAAAAATTTGAATGATGAAAGAATCCTTCTTAATCACTTCATCTAGCTAATTTTATATATCAAGCAACTGACTGTATTTCTTTCAGTATTAAGGAAAAATTTAAAGATTATATTTAGATTATTCTAAGTATATTTTTCTCTTTTTCTCTTTCTGTCCATGTTTTGTTTTTGTTTTGTTTTCCTCTCCAGGAAAATCCCCCAGTGATTATTACTTCAGGTAAGGCTTTTATCATTTTATTTCATATCAGAGTAAGCTAATGCTGCTAATTTCAGTGACATATTGTGGGACCTCACTATTCTCTGAACTTACAGTTCTTCCCATTCATTACTCAGGTTTTTCAGGCAGTTTATTTAAATTTATTACTAATATTCCTAGTTAAAAATAAGTGAGGTAGCAATAAAACACTATATTCTGAGGCCTTGGAAAATTTTCCCTTAGGAACATTTAGATGTAATATAGAACTTCTGCCTAAATTGACTTAGAGGTTAATCTGAATTGTAGATTCGTTATTATTGGTGTGTCCCAGCTCTAGAACAACAAATTATTATTCTACTCAGTTCTCTTTTTTGAGCTGTGGTTCAGAGATATGATCATCATGAATCCTTTGTCTATATCTTAGGTTTGTAGATCATTGATCATCAGACCCATAAGGGATGTTAGGGATGTTCTTTTCCAATCTGTTGATAGATGAGAAAAGAAGACATAGAGATGTTATGTATCTTGTTCAGGTCATAGAGCAAGTTACTGGGGCTATAGGAGGTCTTGGGATTAGAAGGCAGGGTTATTGCTGTTTTTGCATTTCCCTATCAGCTTTTTAGATCTCTAGGACTAACCTGTATTCTTAAGTGCTATAAGAGAAGAAGTAAATGCTTTCCAGTCATGGCAATTTTGTTTACCAGAACAAATTTTCAGAGACTTTTCTCTTTTTTTCAGACATTGACTTGACTGACTACATTAGCATTATTGCTGATATAATGACAATAAATGAAGTTAAAGATTTTGTTCGGAAGAATGGTCTCAAAGAAGCCAAAATAGATGAAATCAAGAATGACAATCTCCAAAATACAGCTGAACAGAAAGTCCAGCTGCTCCGTAATTGGTATCAAGTTCACGGGAAGAAGGATGCATATGACACTTTGATTACAGGTCTCAAAAAAAGCAAACTTTGTAGTAGCGCAGAAAAAATTCAAGATATAATCCTAAAGGACATTGCTAGTAAACGTGAAAATACTAATGTCACAAATGAAAATGAAAGCCACAAGTTTCTCTAAAGTGAAAAACAACTCAGTTTTGAGTATAGACAATACATAGAAAAATTAGTGTTTGAATAAGCTAAGTGAAGGCTGTAAATATTGCTTAACCTTTTACTAGGAATATTTTTCTTTTTACATCTAATATATTTGCAGAACTATATATTTATGTGTTTTAAGGACCTCATGATTCTGTCTTCCTTCAAGAATATTTAAAATCTAGACAGGCCTGGTTAAGAATAAATGCAATGGCATGGTAGGTATACACATAGGTGTATTTGCAAAGACAAAACATTGGGGTCATGCTCTAATATCTAATGTATAATTCCATAGATGTGAATATAATTACTGTATGAGAACACAAAGGTCTACCTACAGGCTGAACCCATCCATGAATCAACAGAAGCTATGACCTCTTGATGCAGTGTCACAATCTCTGGAAAAAGTAGCTTTGCCTTTAACTTACCTCCCCAGTTCCAGGATGATTCTAGAGACTTTACAATACTTGTCAACTTTGTTTGAAATTCTGAGCATATTCAGGGAAAGCTTGTGTATACCTCTGAATGCAGAATTTAAATAACATTTTACTTCAAAGATGTTTACATAGATTATTGGCATGTCATTGTGAAGCATTTCAATTTTGAATTCACATAGAAAGTGCCAACTCAGTTATGCTTGAAATTTTATATTTGTATGCCAGCACACTGGATCAAAATAATCCACCACTTTCTCAGGTGCCAAAACATTTCCATCAAGAAGTATTCCTAGAGCATCCTCTTCGTTTTTTTGTGTGTGTGTTTTGTTTTTTTTTCCTTGATGTGTGTCTTCATAGCCTCTACACTCCCAAACCTGGAAGCACTATCTATGAAACACGATGAGCCATTGTAAATTGTGCTGCTCTTAGAAACGTCTAGCCTGGTTTGGAGAGATTCACTGCTCTTAGAAGAGGTAGCTCTGTGCTACCTCTCATGAGGTAGTTTCTTATCTTGCCCTGTATGACTCCCAGTATATTCTCTTGCTACAAATGCAGCTTACATCCCGGTTTTAGGATTTGTTATTTCCTGCAGCATCTTAGATAAACAAGCCCCTTCGCCCCACTGCCACTTCCTTAATTCTACATTTAGACACTTAAGAAAATGTAAGTGAATCTTAACAAATTGTATTTATATTTGTATAGATGTAAACGGAAGATAGTTATAAACTGAAATAGATATCTCAAAATATCTAAGTAGCTTCCACTGAAGGAAAATCTCCTCCCCCTACCACTTATGTTTGGAAATGTAAAGTGTAAGTAAAAATGTTCCATAAAAATCATTTTTTGGTATTTCTCATTATCCTTTTTTTGTTGAGACCTTGCCTTTTTGTTTGTTTTTTCATTTCTCTGACTACAGCTAACAGTAACCTGTTCAGGAGTCTTCAATGCTGTCTTTGGTTTCTCATGGAGTATTTACCTTTTAAACTCCTTTTGGTAATTAAATATTTCCTTCATAGGCCATAACTTCCCCCCAAAAAAACCTTCCCCAAAACCACATTATTTATTATTTGAGGATTTATTATGATAGGATTATAAGTAAGGCACTGGAAATGTGGATCAAAAAGTAAATATTTCAAAAGGTAGGTTTTATTCATAAGAAAGCTCAATAGGGATTTTGAAATATTCTTTCCTGAAAACTTCCCAGGTGGTTACTTGGTGACCACCAGACTCTCTCTCTTTTTAAAAATTTAATTTTAGTAATATATTTTATTTAACCCATTATTCCCAAAGTATTATCATTTCAACATGTAATCAGTATAAAACCATTAATGAGATAGTTTGCGTTCTTTTTTTGTTTTGTTTTTAATATACTAAAGTCTTCAAGTCTTCAACATCTGGACTGTATTTTATTTATACTCACAAGCACATCTCAGTTTGGACTGGCCGCATTTCAAAGGTTCAATAGCTTCATGTGGTTGGTGGCCAGCACATTAGATGGTTCAGGTCTATATCTTTGTCAGGACAGGTTCGGCAGCCTTGACTCTGTGCTGGCTGGTCAGGCCTGCTGTTTCCTAGGTCTGTTCAATGAGGTCTCTTCACCCTGGTTGGTGGGAAAGTCAGTATCTCTCACCGACATAGAATTATAGCCCTACAGCCCTTTGCCTAACTCTAGTGACCTCCCTGTGCATGGTGTTCAGTCAAAGGCTCCAGGGAACCCCTGTACAGATTCCCGGAGCTCTTGCTCTACCTAACTTCCTTCTTTTCAGCTCTTCGATTTATGCAATGTCTGGCAGCCTCTGTCTCCTGAACTCAAACCTCTGTGCCTCCACTCAACAAGGTGACAATGCTTTGCTTAGGGTCCTCTCCTGGGCCAGGGTCTGGGAAGTGCCTCTAAGGCAGAAAGTCTGAGTGATCATCAGGCTCACCTCATTAGTTTTTCTTCTCTGAAGAGTCACAGTCTGTGCTACCTGCTGTCCTGTTTGCTAGCGCTAGACAGCACGGGGCAAGTCTGGCACTGGTTATTCTTCATGGTCAGAAGCAGAAGTCCTAATCTGCAAGGTGAAGTTGAGTTAGAGAACATGATGTGCTCACTCTGTGAGTCCCAGTGAAGAAGTTGGGGTTTCTGTGGCAGGAGAAGAGAAGTTGGGAAGGTCCTTGGACTCAGTGATATGGCTCCATCTCTCATTGTTTCACCTGAGTGAGACCACTCCCATGTCCACAATCATAGCCATGTTCCCGAGTTTGAGGTTCTTAACTGGCCTTCTGTCTTTTCACTCTTGCCCCTCCAATCCATACTCCAAACAGCAGCCTCCGTGATCTTTCCAAATGGCAAACTTCATTGTGTTGCTTCTCTACTTAAAATCCTCTGTGATTTCCCACTGATCTTAGAATAGTCTACACTTGGTTTAAGAGGCCCTAAAGCCATGGGCTTTCTAGCATCTTCTCTCAACACCTTCCCCTTCCATTCTAAAGCCATGTCAAATTACTCTTTGTTCCTCAACACTGCTATCCTGTTCATCCTTGCCTCTGAGTTTTTTCTTTCTTGCTTCTTCCCCCATTTTGTCTTGTTACTTCTAATTTATCAGGTCTCAGCTTTAATGCCATTTCCAATGGAATGCCACCCTGATGTCTGAACCAAGGACCTCTAATATGTTCACATATTTTGCCATTTTACTGTATATAGTTGTTTGTCTCTTCCTTGCTAGGCCATAAACCACCTGAGGGCAGAAGTCATGATTCGCAGAATCGGTGCATTACAGAATCGATGCACAGAATCAATATTGCTTGAATGAGCCAGTTAATTAAGGAACAAGTGTACGCACTAGTCTTTTGTGTTGGCTGCCCTTTGGTCAGAAAGTTAATAGTGAGTAACTGATTATATGGGGAGCTTCATCTTTTTCATGAACAATGATCATGTCATTAAATTTATCACATATATCCAAGGCCTTTCATGATGTTTCCTCTCTCTCTGCAGTATCCCAGCCTCTTTTCCCACTGCCTCCTTGATGCCCCACCCTCCTTGTTTCTCACACCATTATTCTGAGTCCAAAGCTTGTCCTTGACTACTTGCATCCTGTACTCCCTGACCCCAAATTCCACTAAATTCCACTGGCTCCCCCAAGAAGTCATTACCAACTCTCTGAAAGCCTCGAGTCTCTGCTGAAGTTATTTGCAACTGTCTTCAGGATTTCCCCTGGAATCATTTCAGTAAGCACTCTGTATGATTTTATTTTGTGTGTGTGTGTGTGTGTGTGTGTGTGTGTGTGTGTGTGTGTGTGGTCTGATTATATACTAATATACTGTAAGGTCCTTCAAGTGATTAAAAGGGCTGGCTCCAAAAATAGTACATTTGGAGATTTGGGACCTTGCTACCTTGTAGAAATCACCTAACCTCCTTAGGCCTCAGTTTCTTCACTTATAGAAGAAGGATAATAATACATGCTGCTATGTAGAGCTGCTCTGGGGTTAAAGGTGATATCCACCTGTAGCACATGGGGAAGTGTTGAATATAGCTTTCCTATCATTACACTCACCTCCAGCATCCCACGGGCCCACGAGGGATAGTGGTATGTCATCCATGAAGATGGATGCTTGAAAAGACCTGATGATGTTTGGATATACATCAGCTTTTACATAAAGCTCTGGCTACTTGCTTTAGAAATAAACAAACTGATTTCTTAACAGAAACTTTGCAGGCCAGAAAGGATTGGCAAATAATATTCAAAGTGATAAAAAGCAAGGACCTACAACCAAGGTTATTCTACCCAGCAAAGCTTCATAAAGAATTGAAGGTTAGATAAAGGGCTTCACAGATAAGAAAAAAACTACAGGCGTTCATTACCACCAAATCAGTATTACAAGAACTGTTAAAGAGTCTTCTTGAAAAGAAGGAAAAGGAAGAGGAGGAGAAGAAGGAGGAGGAGGAGGAGGGAGGCAATATGAACAATAAAATAAAAATAAATACATATCTATCAACAATTGAATCTATCAAAATAATGAACACGGGATCTAATGAACAAAGTAAACTAAATTAAAAAATGAACAAAATAAAATCAGCTGAAAACGGTTTGGCTCAGTGGATAGAGCATCAGCCTGCCAACTGAAGGGTCCCAGGTTGAATTCCAGTCAAGGGCATGTACCTTGGTTACAGGTACATCTCCGTGGGGGGAGAGGGGGTTGTGCAGGAGGCGGCTGGTTGATGTTTCTCTCTCATCGATGTTTCTAGCTCTCTATCCCTCTCCCTCTCTGTAAAAAAAAAAATCAATAAAATATATTTAAAATAATAATAAAAACAGACTGATGAATCTCAGAGGGAAGTAGGGAGGGGAGTGGGAAGAGATTAACCAAAGAGCTTGCATGCATATATGCATTACCCATGGACACAGACAATGGGGCAGGCAGGATCCAGGTGGAGGAAGGCAATGGAGGGAGAAGGGGCGGGAGATCTGTAATGCTTTCAATAATAAAGATATAAAAGGAAACATGGTAAACTGGTACTATGATGCATTAAGTGTACATTTAATAATAATTTTGTAAAAATAACCCC